GCCTAGAGCCTAGCGAAGCTAGACCCCGATATGAGGGAGGAGGCGACACAATAGAGTTACAATCAAGGGGGCCTCAAGAGGACAGGAAATACCCAACCAGCCGGTCATGGCGGTCCTGTGGTTGAGGGATAGGTTATCTAACAACGGGGACTTCATGTTTTTACAGACACTTGCGCTAATTGATGAAACGTTTTTTTTTCCCTGCCCGCGTAACTCAAATACATGGTATTATAGTGCACTATTATCCTAAGGAAGCAACCCAGGCTTGAATAGAAACGGCAGCATTGCTCCTCTTCCGGGCGACTTTATCAGATTCAAAATGCCTGCGGCTGCTGTCTTCTACTCACGAGTTGCACATGCCCGGTCACGCCCCGCCAGATCTACAAGTTACAGCAGCAGTAGCATGCGGAGTAGCTTCCAACCCGAGCTTTAGCGTGGCCCTCCAGACTGCTTGCTCTAAGCACCACCACCGGCTGTTTTTACCACCAACACCTCGGAATACACCAACGATCCCCAAACGCGAAGTTTGACTCTGTTGTTTCATTTGCAACAAGGAACACCAGACAAACCGATCGCTCGCCCCACCATGGGCCACCTACACACATTCGAGTAGATAGGTAGATGCATTGTACAGCAGGTACAGCGAAAGACACGCCGCTGGAGCCAAACGTTGAACTTCACCGCCCCCGGGCTCTCTCAGTCTATTCCACGCACACGCGGCATATCGCGACGTAGAGTGCGGCAGCGAGGGGACTGCGCCCCTTAGATGTATCTCTACCGGCCCTTCTAGTGGCAGACTGTCGGTTCATACCTGCTGCACATGTGCCGCGGTAGGTCTGCCGATGCTGCCCACGCTGCTGCTGAGGAAGATGACCGCGTTGTTCCATGTTTTCAACTCAACAGATTTTTCGAAATCTCCTTTCGCCCCTTGTGGATCGCAGCTCTCTGTTAAGCTGCACGCCGGGCGTCGAGCGAACGCCGGTCACGGGTTGTTTCTCCTGAGGAACCCGTACCACTGGAGAGGACGAGTGATCCACGCAAAGGTTCGCTGCGGCACACCATGTGCGGCCCCACCTGGGGGGTTCGCGAAAGGTATTTCGAAAATGGGGTGTGGTGTCTTGTCTAGAGGAGCTCCGCCTGTCGCCTTTCCCCACAGTCTCCATGACTCCTGTGATGCATGAAACACCGATAAGCTTCATTCATTACACAGGCACATGCTCAGAGTATAACTACTGGGAACGACACTATACCCTCGATCTACGACCCACCCGTGAGCACGCACAAGTGAGAAGCGACCTTCCGATACTGTTCGGGAAACAGAACCATTAAATGAGGGTTCGCATTCCCGTTCGAGTCCCCGGGTCTTCCCGAGCGCGAATGGGAGCGTTACACATGAATCACGCCGCGTGATTTGGACTCATGCGCACACCGCGCGAGGGTTGTACAACGCCCCGCTGCGACATACGTATTGTTTCCCGCGCGAGCATGTGTGCATACGCATGAACGTTCACTCCGAAAGATGGTGGCAGCCAGCAAAGCCAAAACGCAGCAGCCGGTCGTCGCTGAGACCGAGCCGAAGATCGAGACGACGGCCGTCGACGACCAAATTGATAACACAGCAGACTTCCCGCGTGTCAACCTGAGCTCTCGACAATCTCATGGTGGTGAGGAGAGCCACGGCGTCCCTCTCGGTATCCGGAGCGGAGGAGAAGGGAAAAATCCAGATGCAGTTCCCGCTATCGGTCAGGATCAGCTCGACGAGGAGGCTGCGGTGGGGTCCATCCACCACATCCTCAAGACTGCGTTCAAGGAACTCTATGGTGGTGGGAGTAGCAACGATGAGACTGATGATGAAGTTGCGGAGGAAGGGAATGGACGGCAAGGCACACCGGCGAATGCATCAGATTCAGGGTCAAGGAGGCCTTCGTCGGTAGCGAAAGAATCTGCGGCGAACGGTGGAGGTGATGGATCCGTGTACCAATAGATCTATGTACGTAGCATTTGTTCTGCGGACTGTGAACTCTTCTTGTCTACTGTACAGTGCCAACTGTAGACTAGCGGGGCTGGCCACATCACGCATGGAAAAGGTCCGGCCCTGAAAATAGCGTATGGGCTCAATGTTGTGTTCCGAATGGTGTTTGGCACATTAGTGCCCGGCTACTCTTTGGCGGCACTGCCCCGTCATGTAGCCCAGATATTGGCATGGGCTGCCGTGTTGATGTCAAATGACGAAACAAACGCCGTGCGCTATTACAGTAGTACAGCAGTAATGTTCCTGAACGTTTCTGACGTCCTTTGCCAGATAGACACCCGACGTCGCATGTGCCCCTACACTGGCAGGCACACGACAGATCCTCCTACGTCCTATACCTAAACCCGACGATGTTGCGGCCATGCTGGCAAACAAAGGCGTCAAAAACACTGAGTTACGTCGGTCATCTCCCATATCCACACCAGACCCGACAACCTCCCCTGATGGCGGAGAAGCGCAAGATCCAAACAGCAAGCCGAAACCCCGTCTGTCATCGAACAACGTTGAGGGTGCCGGGGCGGCTAAAGGGGACTCCAGCGACGTGACGGGAGTTAATGCCTCAGAGGGGGTAGAGGTTACTGAAACTAACGAGGGTGAGCCGATAGACTCTAACGCAACGAGCTCGGTGTTGGTTGAGGTAACGGTGGTCTTTACGGAATGATACAACAGTTCCGTACCTGTGCTGTAGTTTTTTAGACACGAATAGCAATAAACAAGTCGCTGAGGGGGTTCCTCAAAAGGATTGGGTTCAAAGAATTGAGTGCTCCTTCCGAACGGGATTCACGAGAGCACGTTCTTACGACAGGGGTATGCTGGGGCAATGAACCGGTTCTGCTGAAAGTCTGGTCCTTGCCACCACCAGGTGCTGATGAGGGGCAACTGGCCATGACTAGCGATGGGGAGGCGGCGTTTCAAGATCTTGAACGAAATACGTCTCCAGAGGGTAGAAAACTGGAAGTGGCCGAAACAGTGGAAGACACGGCAGCAATCGAAGAGAGGTTAGTGTTCTTCTTTCGGAACGCATGAGGAGAAAGGGGGATTTGCACCGAAGCGTTTGGGGTGACAATTTTTCTGGGGGCAACTTAGGGATAACTTAGGGGTGATTCGTGCCGCAAGCCAATTTTGCTGTTTTTAACTCGCCGCCGACAAGTTGATGGTAGTATTTTGAGCGTGATCACTGGGACAATTAACAACCGAGTTAGTATCGATATATATATTCGATCATCAACACCAAGCGGGACGACTCAACGACGGCTTTCTGTCGTTCAGAACCCCCCGTGCAACACGTGTGTCAATGATGCGGAATCTACCTAACGTAGTATTCAGTAGTGTTCTTGTAAACTGGTTGCTTCGGCCTCCAATTTGAAGCCAATGTCCATGTCATACGAACGCAAATGTCCATGCGCCCCGCCATACCGACCTCAATATCATATCTGAAACAAGGTTTGCGCTGATTGAAGCTGCCTTGGAAGACCGCCAAGAGCTGGCCAAAGGGCTGAAGACATACACATTGGGGCAGAGGGTAGCAGCGAGGGAACATGACAGGTAATGGGCATCAATGACAGCACGAATACGGCACCTCTTCCTGGTGTTGTTGAAGTTGTAGAAGTTTGGTCACGGTGTGCAGCCTTTCTCAGCCCTTACATTTTGAGACTGATGATAGTCACCTTGTTGTCACGCATTAACCCCGAGGTATCCCTCACCCTGCTCAGTGAGAGAACAAGCATCGTAAATAACGTTGGAAAGCTTCCTACACCGGTGGACATTACCGCAACATAATACGTACAAAGCCCTGTTCTTTCTTGCGTCCGTTCTTGAATCTATGCTTGGTTGTAGAAATAGTTGGCGTTCTTGTTGGGGTCAATATGTTCGGCTGAATACTTTCGCCGCCCCTCCTTAGCACACAGAGTATTGAGACGTTCTTGGCGGGTATGTAATAATGACCAATCGTCGCCCGCTCACCGGCGACAACCTGGAGCAAGAGGTCCTCGCGATTCCGACTGTTTCACACACGCCGGATGGCAACATCCTCAACCTTGTTCCTCCCCCTCATAAGCGCGCATGGATAGCACCAGTCGCCCGTTTTGTGCTATTGATTGCTTTGAATCGACGAAGCTTCTGCTCAGCATACGCAACCACCTCCCTGTCCAACGTTGTACTACCAGGGAAGAGATAGAAGTTCTCAAGAAGCAGGGAATTCTTATCGGGGCACACATCCCGATGGGTCCCAGCGGACTGATTCTGGACCGTTCCACGATCGGCACCTTCGGAGGGTTCGCCATTTCTCTACTGGATGCGGCGGAACTTGCTCGGGCAAACCGAAGGGCTGGTCTTCGCCACTCCGGCAACCTTCCGTGGAACGAGTAAGTGGAACGTGTGGCACAGACACAATTGGCACGTCCAGATCCTTTCTGCCGGCGCACTGGAATGAAGTTTGTATGCGTATGCCACCTGCTCTGAACGTTGCTTGTTTCCCTGGCCTGCACCTGCCGTATGCCCTATGCCCCAGGTTTTCTCAAAAGAAACCGCATGGGGAAGGAGGTGACGCCCGTTTTCAGCCTCCTGGATACCTGAAGCACACCACAACGAACGCCACCAGGTGAACATTGCACTGTGGCGTAGGGCGGCTGATATCCCAGGTGCTCATGAACGATGTGCGTTTAGCTGAGAATAGAGGTCACGGACGTGGCCAGACTCATAGGAACACTTTCTTAGACGGTACAACTGTGTAAATGCCCTCAAAGATGCCCGTCAGTAACAATTTTTTAAGGAATCCTTGAACTAGTCCAAACATGACAAAACACCGACCAGGGAGGCTCTAACCCTCAAGAGAAGCTTCGGCCGCCATGGGGAGAAAGGTATCCGGCAGCAGCTGCAACTCGAGGCGCAACGTGATTTGGAGCGAGCTATGTCTGGTGACACCATTGTCACAGGTAAGATTGTCACTCATTCGCGGTAGCCGCACCGCCTACTGTTCTTTCCGCGCGCCATAGACCGAAAATCATCACCTAACGAAGTTCAATTGGCCAATGGATGGGCATGAGAGCAGTCACCACCGATTTGAAACGTCCACGTGACGGTGGAGGATGGAGGAGGGTATGAGGCATCCGAAAGTTCTACGGGAGCCACCACATTGCTCATTCCGTCACGGGATACTGGCACGCATGATGGCTACTCTATGATGAAAAGGAAATGATCGCCTTGCTGCGGATACCACACGACTGTATGGTGAAGCCCTTGCCGGCGAAGAGGAGGGAGCCGCAACGGCCGCGGGAGTTTGGAAAGATCGAGGCGTTTTGGAAGATGATACTACGGACGATGACAGTGCGGATGATGCGGCACAACGGGCATCATCACGGTGTGTTGCTGACGGCGTGCGGCCCTCTAGGTGTAGACTCTGTAGCTCAGGGGTGGCTAGGTGTCGCTGGGGATTGGTAGCAGTAGTTCTCTTTGGGCCACGGCGACTTTCAAAACAGAAACCACGGCGGGTGTGGGGGCAGCGCCGGTTTCGAAAGACTGGGGCTACTACGCTGTGTTGGCGGCATACCCAATGACGATAGCCTATTATCCACATGGAGCCACTGGATAATCCATAGACGTGTGATCAATATTTTTTGTGCATTTGTTCGAATACTTTGACCTTTGAAAACGATTTGCAGTTCAAGCAAAGCACAACCATAGTTGGAGCTACATGCCACGCCGAATGGAAACCCGAGGATAACACATCGGTGGGTGTTGGCTATCCTAGCGTGTGGTGTGACCAGTTGTTGGCGCACGTTCGCTGGCAACGCGTCCGAGCTGGTAAACAATCCGGCAGAAGGTTCCCTCACGCGTTACCTTTCATCGAACCGATGTCTGAACACTTGGGGAATTTAATCACTCATGCACTCCTTGCCAAGTGTACGGCTGCTTCGTTTCTCAATCTCTACCGCGCACAGCAGCAAGGTTATCGTGAAAGGCGCCCAGAGAGACGCCGACGCCGCTGTGATGACCCGAATGCAGAGGAAGTTGCGCTTCCGAAGGAACCCCCGCTACGACCCGGATAGCCGTTGGCACGAACAGGTGCGGAATATGATGCGAATGCCGTTGGGTTTGTTTTCGTCGCCAGATCCGCGGCCCACAGAGGTCGCCGCCGTGTCGATTGGGCTCCATAAAACGTCGGAATTGGGCTCTAAGTTTCTCGATAGAACGCGGACAAATGTATTGCGTGTACAGCAACATCGAAGGATTCCATACCAGCACCTGCATAGAGCGCCACCCAAGCCGCTACCAACTACACCTACAATACCTGCAACACGGCAGGCAGATAGAGAGAAAGTGGTGGCATGCCCTACTATTACCCTCCAGCAGCAGTACCACACTAGCAAACGCTGACATCAAATCACTGCAACTCCGCAGATGTTGACAGTTAAGGCGGCCCCAACAGCGCCAGCAACAGCTTGTACAGGCCACGGCGTACCAGAACGCGGTAGCAGCGGTGAGTACTCGGAACCCGTTCCGAGATAATCGGAACTCAAAGCAAGTGCCGCTGTTTCCTTTTCCTTCTCCGAACCTCCCCTCCTCTGACACGAAACATTGAGAAGGCGTTTTGGTCAGGTGTAACTGCGACCATCGTCTCACCTTGGGTAAGTGACACCTAAATGTTCGAGGACATGGCGTCCCGAACCCGGTAAATTTTCAAGGACGTGACACGAAAACATGTTTTCCTCGACGCCTGCGTCATTGGTTGTGGTGCGGCTTCCAAATGGAAACATTCACATTATGCATTGGTTCTTGGTCATTACTGGTGGGCCGGATTTGGTTTAACGGTTTAACCGGTTGACCCAATATCCGGTTAACCCGATTCACTTGTTTTGCACTGCGGTAGTGTGGGACTCGGCATGCGGCACTATTCTTATCGTCAGAAGAACTTCGGGCGTCACACCTGATTTCTGTGAAAAGAGTACATGTGTATCAGTAATAATCTTGGGGGCTCAGCGATGAGGGAATTTGAAAAGAAAGCAACGCCAAGTCCAACACAGAAGGTCGAGCTCAGTTCTTCGTCCGAGAAAGTGTGGCCCATGCTGAGAACAACCATGTCTCATTTTGTCGCTTGTGCGGCCAATACACAGGATTGCGGGTGGGTGGGTGTTGTTTTTTATCTTCGATGTTCCCTAGTTTTCAGTTTTGGGGACGCAGCATGGTCCCACCTCTTCCAGCAAGTGTTTTCCCGTAGAGATCGACGTATCCATTTCCCCCCATCACGTTTTGTGGGGTGCCCCGAGGGTATATGGCATTTTCTGCTCTTTTCGTTCGTTTCCTTTTCACAATTAAAGGCGTGTTTTGGGTATATTCCTTCTTCAGTTTTGGGGACGCAATATGCACGTATTCGAAGGTGTTCTTGCCGTCGCGCTGACTTGTACAACGTCAGATGCCAGATTGAAGACCAGGAACAAAGCTTTGACTAAAACCGAGCTTTTGGCGTCGATACCACCGCCGGGGGATATAGACGGAGAGAACGGGTACTTCTTGGCCAGCCCAGCGGTTGTGGAGTACTTCGACTACTGGGTGGGGCAAACATTCAGGTACGTACACCTGCCGGTGGAACTGCTGTGCTTGACACAAACGCGCCGATGTGTTTTTTGCGAGTGTCGATGGCAGCATGAAAACAGCGAATCATCCTGCTGGTTTGGTGCTGTGTGGTCGGGTGTCATGCGGGAGGAGTTGCGGGCAAACTCGTGTGTGGCAACAAGAAAGAACGCTCGTGCACGCTTCCAATTCCTCCAGAGCACGATGAAACCATGCTGATTTCGCATTTGCGCGTTCATTTCGCCACGACAGTTCGCTTGTTTTTTTTTTCCAAACCCACACCTAGCCCCACATGCACGGCGGTGAACTGTTACACTCCAACTATGCGAAGCATTTCCGGATAGTTCTTTGAACTGACACCTATTTTCACAGCAATACCGTGCATGCAGAACTCCGCCAGCGGTCGCACTGTATATCCTCTTGGAACAATTCGGTTCGTGCAGAAGCATGTGGTTGTCTTACCAAACAGATACGCAACCAACCCGATCCCCTCAACAAGGGTCTACGTGGTTCTCTTGCCATCCTTTCGATGTCGTCATACAACGGCCGGTCCTGTCTGTGTAACTCAGGGCGGAGTTCGTTCTGCGCAACATATCGTGCCTCAAGCGGAGCTTCATGCTCCTCCCACCCTCGACGAAGTACTTCAGCTTGGCCAAGGTATGCCCTACGGGTTTTATTTCTGGTATAGAGTTTGTAGCTTTTCCTTTCTTTGACGACAAGTCCGTAGAACAAACAATAGGCCAGAAAAACGAAGCAGGGAAGCAGTGCCCGTGAACGTACGGCAAGCACCCAAGTCTTTTGTGCCGAGAGAGACATCCTTGGCATCTCATACCCCGCAACATGGTATACTTTGCTCACGTCCCTAGGCACAAAAGCAAGATGTAGACATGCTTGTCGGAGAAACGTTTTCGTTATTGCCCTCTCTGGACAAGTTTCATTGTCGTTCCAACCAATGTTGTTTGTAACAGGTGATATTTCCCTCTTCAGAGATTGACCCGGCGTCTGGCGTCGTTACGGGGACCGGAGAAATCGCCCCCGGTGTCAGGGCGACAGTTCTTGTGGACTTCGTCCCCGACAGCCTCGGAGAGTACCACGACGTGATATCTGTGGTTACGGAGATCGGCACTTTCGAGGTAGGGGAACCTTGAAGGAAATACGGTCTTACCCTCGTAGTTCCGTATCACAAATGTTGGAAGTTTACTGCAAGGGATGATTAGCTCAGGTTTGTCCCTGGGGCGTTGACTCGTGCATAACAGCATCGATCAAGATAGACTCGGGAGATACGTCAGTGTTACGGATACACCCGGTCACCGAGCAGCTAAAAACAACTTCGGGTACGATCTTCATCGCGTGCAATAAGCGTGCCCAATGGATGAACGACTATCAGAACCTGCCTACGTATGGATCATTTTTCTCATGTTGAACAGGTTCCAATATTCGCTCACCGGAGACGGCCGTGCCTCTCTCTGCCGCCCTCGGGTCTCCTCCACTGCGGGGGGTGCCTTCTGGGAGAGTGCCGGACATTGCGGTTCCGCGTAAAGAATACCGGAGGGCCCGTCCGTTTCCGACTCCTTCCGCGGCGCCCCTCGGAGAAAACGGCCGCCGCTGCTGATGTGCATCAGCATGGAGAGAGCCGGGGGGAGGCGACGGCGGCAGCCGTTGCGGCAGATGACGGGCATCACGCCGGGCAACACGGCGGGAATGGGAGTGAGCTTCAGGGAGGCGCGGCCACTCGTTTGGACCGGAGCGTTTTGCGGACAAGCGCCGGTTGCGACGAGACCTTTGGGTCGTTGAAAATACCCCCAGCAGCAACTCCTGAGGCAATCAGCCGAGCCAATGGTGGGATTCATTCTGATGGAAACGGTGGTCATGACGGTGGCGACGATCGAAAGGTCGATTTCGATAACTCGAGCTTCAATCCGGACGGCAACAACGGCAGACTAGAGGTGAGTGAACAGGCAGGTGAACATTGTTGTCTCAACCTCTTGCTATCCGATGCAGTTGTGAGGGCATTGTCCGTACGTTCTACGTCTACCTGTTGGTGCTGACTTGGCGCTCTGATCAGTGGTCTGCTCCTTCGTCCACCTACCGTTTCGCGTACCAGGCGCTTGAAATTTGGTGTGTTGTCATGCGGTTGTTCGGGTCGGGCTGACCGTGACCCGGTTAGCCCATACAACTTTCAGGGATTTTTGCCTCCGACGTCTTTCGTCGCAGGTTGGTGGATCCCACGCAAGGTTCCAGCCATAGGGGTAGGACCTTTGGGAGCAAGCGAATTTTTATGTTGCCTCCGACCACAACCATTTTCAACGAGACATGTACTTGAGAACACGCTATGCCTGACGGCAAAAGCAGCGCATTTTGCTGGAGCACTGTAGTCAACAACCATCTCTTACTCGCTTTCTCCGGACTGTTCGTGCTCGCTGGGGTGTTCGTTCCGGGATGCGCTTCAGGACGGACCGTTCTGTGTGTTCCCCACGGACTATTGCGTAGGCGAGGGAGAAACAGTTTTCATCAACGTCGAGTACTTGCCATCAGAGGTCGGCGTGCACGAGGCTTGCTTCATCATGGTGCAGGTGCCGATTGTTGCTGCTGCTGTTGCTGTTGATCTTGATGTTGTTGTTGTTGTTGTCTTGGGCGTACTTCGGCGGGCTAGCCGTTCATTGCAAGTACCTCACGCACCGAATGATAGGAGAAAGTACATCGTTCAACTACATAACACTATACTCGGCCTCATGCCTTACCCGCAGGCTCTGCGGCAGCTGTTGTAACCGCTAGTGAAGAGTCAACTGGTATCATGGGCGCGTCATGCTATCTATTGTCAACACCACAACCTGCCGTTTTCGACTTCTCGTGCACCCGGCAAATCCCGCGCCCCCAAACCCCAATAGGACAACTGCGACGAAAGAGATTTGCGAGTTGAGGCCCTCTGTGAACAGGTTTCTCTCCGCATTTCGAGCATTGATGGCACCCCCGTACCTGCGTTACAGTCGCCGTCGAAGGCGTCCCTCCCCACCAGCCACTGTCAGGTGAGCGTCTCATGGAAACGGCCGGTAGTCATGAAACATACGCGATAGTGGTGACCGGCGTGAGCGGTGACGACTCGGCGTCGTGGTGTTCTCGTTGTACCTCGATTCTGTCGGTGGCGTCTCTCCCGTCGTCCTTGGGGTGTCGCAGTCTTCGAAGAGCAGGAGCAAACGCTTTGTGACACCGCAGTCCTCGCAATTCCTTTCTTCAAAATCCAATTACTCAGCTGACGATATCCATTTACACCCATAGCAGGATATGACAGGGCAAGGCTCTCGTTGTTGGTTATGTTTTTCGTTGTTGCTCTGTCGTCCACCAGACCACATACATTGCAGATAAACATGAATTTTCTCTATACACACAACCCGTAGGGCGTTGGCCCATATCGCACTTCTTGCTCTGCTGCTGGACCACACAACCGTGTCGCCCTCGGGATAATGTCACGGGAGCTCGTGATCTGGTTTGATCCTGGGAGAAGAACAACACCAGACACAAAGACACAAGAAAGCAAAGAGATGGTCTGGCGCGTCAGATTGCGCTCGATAGCGAGCAATGGTGTCGGGCGACATTCTGAGTGCCCGCAGGGGCGCCGAAACGTGTTCCCGCCCGGGCGATAGAAATAGGAAGCAAGGGAAGAAATCTCACTATCAAGCCTAGCCTCCATCTTCCTCGAAAGCATAATCGAAAGCGCGGTACACACGTTCACCATCACGCCGCTAGCTGCCTCGAACGAAATATCATCCACGCATGCGCACTCTCCTCGAAGATAAAAGCTCTCTGAAATACCCCACTTAAGCTTAGGTACGATCCACGGCGGCTGTCCGACGATCTTCTGCTTGCTTTATATTTCACCATGGCAGGACCAGCAGCAGCTGGTGCTACCAACCGACAAGGCAGCCGACCTGGGCAGCGCGGTGGTGGCATCACCGGCAGCGATAAGCCACCTCTTGTTCGAGCCCACGCTTCTGGCCAGCACGTGTCAGCGGCAGTTCACGCTGCGGAACGACACGACCGGAGACCTGCGCATTCGCTGGGAAACCTCGGACATCACCTCCGCGCAGAAGCGGCAACAACGTGGACAGAAGAAGAATAGCGCGACTTCGAGGTCGTCTTCGTCTGGAGACCCTCCGTCGGCCTCGCCGACGACTTCCGCCACACGCACTGGTGGTGGCGGTGGGGACATCTTTGGGACTGTCGGAGACGGTGAGGCCACGGAAAGACGGGGCAGTGCCTACGTGGATAGGGGGGGGGCTCAAGCGGGGGCTGATTGGGAACCTGAAGCAAACGCGCCCCGAAATGAAAAGAGAACGGGGGATGTCCCCGCGGGGGGCATCCAACCGTCGTCTTCTTTGGCGGCAAGAACGACGGCACAGATGCCGAAGGGTTTAGCGACTGCGGCCGGCAGGGGACCGTTCGTGATCTTCCCGGGTTTCGCGGTGGTTCCGGCGCGAGGGGAGGTTTCGTTCGAGGTGGCGTTCTCGCCCCCGGCCCTGGGGGAGGTTGGGTGAGTACCTTGCAGACAAAGATGGAGTTTGCCAGATCATCTGTTCTCGAAGGCGTGCTCGCTGCACGTCATGTCTTCGCGCCGCCCACATTGCGAATTCCAACCACCTCGTGATTCACTCCATGGCGAATGTGATCAACGCTTGCCTGCTTGCCACGTTGAGCTTGATGTCGAGCAATGACGTGGAGTATCAAACACCGGACACTTCAAGTAGGAATGCTATTGCGTCTTCATCGTTGTCATGATCTTGAACCAGTAAGTGTACATAGGAGTTGACCCAGCTGACCCAATCCCAAGCCTCTCATGGCCCTAAGAACGACATGTGGCCTCACTACTCGGACGGCCTAGGTTTCAGGCGGTGGCGGTCGTACAAGGCATCCCGGCGGCGGCCTTGGCGTACCACAACCCCGCTGGAATGCTTGTGGACAGTGACGACGCCGCTTCGGATGAGGAGACCCGTGGAAGTGTAGATGCGGGAGCTGATGAGGTCTCTAGCGGTGGTGATGGAAAACAAGGCTTTGGAAGCAGAAGTGACAACCGCGCCGTGGCAGGAAAAGGCCGGTTCAGGTGATTACGCGCCCCTCAACAGCCTGCGACGAGACGCAGTGTTGCAATACTCGAGGGCGTTTTGGTTTCGGTCGTTCGCACGACCAGCGATCACCCTCTCCCTTGCGGCAACCGCGCGACGAAGGCGGCCTTACTCGGCGTGTGAAACATGACACGAAGCAAATCAGCAGTCTGCCACGAAATCACGAAACTCCGTCAAACACGCCCCGTTCGTGGCTGACACCCATCGCATCCAACGGCAGGCTGTTCCTGCGATCCTTGGATCCGGACGGCAAGGGCTCCTTCAGCAGGGACGAGTTCATGAAGGGGTTGCGAGCGATGTGCCCCCTGCTCGAAGAAGCCGCCGCGACGTTCGTGAACTCGGTGACATCGAAGGGGAACGGAGAACATGTGCGTTTCCTTCCTAAAAACGCAACAGGTGGTGTTTCGCGTGTCCTTGAGCAACGACGTAGACTCCAACGTCTGGAAATCGCCGTCGAGCGTTCTGCTAAGCAAAATTCTATTTTAGACGCTTGTTCGTGTCTCCACCCTCTTCAAGCCTAGAATTAGTTACGGACCTTCTGCGAGAAAGCTCGTCTCAACCGAAAAGAGTGTGTGCACCCCGAATATCAGATGTGGGAGGTAAGCGCTACACAATTCCAACGCCTTTTCCCTCGCGAATGCTCAAAGCTTCATTGTTAACCAACACCTGTAGTGCTAGATGCCTACATTGTACGCCGAACTTCGCTGACCTCTGGTATTAATACTTTGCAAATGGGAATTGCCCCAACTTCGCCCTGCTCGCTTGCTTGGCCTCCTTGATTTTCAACGAAACTATTCATGTAGGAGACATTTCAAAGCTCCTTGCTGTAAGCGTGAGACGAAAAATTCAAACAATGGATGAAAGTGCTTCATATGCAGCTTGTCGTGACTGGCAGGTAGGTGTTGAAGATTCAAGCTATGAAAGTTCTGGGGCGATCGTTCCATACTCAGCAACAAACCCTTTTCAAAGGGGAGGAAATTTGCGGATACAGTATGCAACAGTAGAGTTGTGAGGTGGTTCACGTGAGAGCAACCAATAACCAGATACCTGGTACACAAAGAAGGGTTCTCCGGCGTGTCGTTCTGTGCCTTGCTCCAGGTCACAAACTTGATACACGAAGCTGTGAACAAACTGGATCCACATGACGACACCGATAGCGACGCTGAAGGCCCGTTCGTTGGAGTCAAAGAGGCCCTAGCGGCCATGGGGGCCGAGCTGCAAACGCGGATCTCGCACGCCCTCGGTAGGAAAAGCTTGGAAGAGCTGGTGGAAGGCCACCGCAAAGACATGCCAGGCTTTCAGGTGAAACGGGTGAAAGGAACGCTGCTGTCATGGGGATGACTGTTGCTGTGGGGGGTCTTCCTCAGTGCTGTTTGTCGGCACAATAGGGAATACCCTATTTCGCGACCGAACGAGGAACTCGGGATGCCAGGCAAATCTCGCGACCTTCTTCATCCTCTGCCCACCTTATCTTTCCCAAACCTTAGATGGAGTTGCGAGGGTCGGGGGAACCGGTGCGGCTGTCTCTGCGGCCGGCAATGCTTCAGGCTCCGGGTGATCACGTTCCTTACGGTCAGGTGCGTAGGGCGCACGTGGAGGTTTGTTTCAGACTGAGGTATTCGACGGAGCCCAGGACCATTCGAGTTGTGGGGGAAACACCACCAACGGTAGTACTAGCACCGACTGCAACGGCGACGTCAAGCGTACGGGATTCGCACCACCACCAACGAGCGTACCGTATCAACATCAATCGATGTTCAATTGTTCCGCGGAAGGAGTACCTTCGAGATGCGCGACAGGATTGGGCGAACAGAGGATTGCAATCATCCGATACATTTTCCTGCATGACACTGCAGCAGACCACCATCCCAACGCGGCGAGCAGTTCCACCTTGGTGTGAGGAACAATTAGCAGTAGCACTTGGCTCGACAAAGACGTGAGGACAACGACGGCGGCGTAACTTCTTAGAGCAGCGCGCCCCCGATACCTATTTGTTTCCCTCCAACCTCATACGAAAAAGTTCGGTTCTCTATTGCATCTTGAGGGAAGTTCGTGTCTGGACTGGGAAGCGTAAGTGTCGGCTGCGCTCGTATGGTAGTGACCATCAAGGTGCGTGTGCCCTTCATTTCCCCGCGCTTTGGGGCGTTCCAATTTGTTGGCTCGGCTCTGTCTTAGAACATCATTCCCCTCAAAATCCTGCGCAATTTTGGATAAACGGCTACACATTGTTTTGGCGTTTCTTCGCAGCCACTTGCCATGGACTTCGAAGTTTGCAACGGGTCTTCGGCCCCGGCCCAGTTCGAGTTCGATCTGCCCGGCATGACGGTGTCGCTGTTGGGGAACGACGCGTTCACGACCACCAGTCCCGGTGCCGAGGTCGACAGTAGCAGGAACTGGTGCGACTTGGATATCTGCCCCGTGGAGGGAGTCGTGCCCGCGGGAGAGAGTGTCAAATGCAGGGTGAGAAAGCGGGATATTTCGTATCTGAGGTCACAGCTGTGCTCACCGCCACGGACCGTAAACCCCTGAACGGAGGTTGTCAGCAGTAGCTAGTGGCATCAGCTACTGCTGTGAATCCGCAGTTAAAGAGATTGGGGTCAGTAGCAGCGAGCACGGCTGTGACAAATCTTGGTTCCGGCGCAGATTTCGGACTATTTTCAGAGGCTGCTGCGACCTTCGATATTTCAGCTCCAGCAGCAAACCTGAACGTGCCAGCACGCACGACGCCTCTTCATGATGTCCTCTACTGATGACAATATAATGCGACACCTAACATTCAATATTGACCTTGTTTGAGCGCCTCCCGTTTGGCTCTACTGACTAGAATTTAGAGGCGTGAATTTTTATCTTGACTTCATAGGAGGCGTGTGGAGGTACTGTAGACGCGTGAAATGTATGTTTTGAGCAGCCTCTACTGCCGCCCTGTGCGAGAATCAACGATTTCTGTTTTACTCTTATGGCTCCCCATAGTTGGCCCGACGGATGTTTTTGGACGGGCATACCCCCCCCTCCCCTGATTTCGACCAAAAGACAGACCTCTCAGCACATCACCACAGAGTTCTCCCTCCATGATTGTCGGGTCGTCACCAGAACTTGAAGGCTGTACGCACCACACCTGTAGGCGTCTTTGAAGCTAGTGGTGACTGCTGTGGGGTCTGTGTGTGCTGAGCAATGTCAATCCATGTGAGCAAAAGTAAGAATCCGTTTTAAGAATACGGATTCTCCAAACGGAT